GGGCATGCAAAAACAGGATATACTTGTACCCGCTGTGTAGGTAACAGACTCTCACAACCCCTTAATAAGAAAGAACAATGTCAACATTTTTCATAGATGACGTATGGAAATGTTTTACGTGGATCAACTAGAATTTGGTCTCTGCATTTACCAATCTCATTCTTTGACCAGAACAATCCATAAGTTGCCTTAAAGGCTTGAGGTCAGAAGGCAAATAATTCTCTAACAATTTTTCGAGAAAGCCCTCCAAAACTAGTAAGTCTTGTTTTTGTCTCTGCTTATGGCATAATATGTATTCTTACTGGCAATTAGACTCATACAAGGAAAATGAATTCTAGGTCTCTTATAGACCCAATGCATACCGGACTGTCTCCAATTTTGCTAATTGCTACAATATTCATTAGATAACATCTGATTGAGGGGGCGGACATGATATTTAGGTACATTCCATTTTGGAGGAAGGGGGGAACTTTGGGCGATTCTGGTTTCATATTAACTCTAGAATAGACTAACAGCAGAAGTGAGCATAAAAGGTACAGACAAAGTAGAGAAGAATAATTCTTCCGGGGGTTCTTCTGACTGCCTTGCAGTCTCTTCCCTGGGCCTTGCCATCAGGGATGACCTGTGCAGTTTCGATCTCTGGCATTTAACAACTTGTAATTTGCTATGATTTCTTTTCTTACTGTGATTACATAGTCACCTTCAAAAAAAAAAAAAAAAAAGCAGACAAGAATAAGGGCCATTTTTATAGTATGTGAGAAACATGTTCCTGTTCTGTGCCCAGTATGAAATACCAGTTTAGATGAATAAAGAAATTCTTTCATCTTCTTATATCTTACCTAATAGGTAAAGGTAAAAGGAAAAACAGATCATGAATAAATAAGGTTCCCCTCCACTCCTGTAACTTACATGTATGCATTTGATAAACAATAATGCAAGTGAGCCCAGTAGCTGTTAGATTTTATATGTTTCGGAGGCTAGTTAGCATTCCTCTGTTTCATGCTCCCAACGCCATCGGTTTCCCCCATGGTGTCATAGGTAGAACTCCATGATACACCTAAATTATAGATGTAGAAACTGGACCTATATCTAATTGGTATATTTGAACAGTATAAATTGTGTGTTAGTGTAAAGCTTGATTATTGAATTGAGCCTTAAATATTTTGAAATTGAATGTTAAAAATTTGCCAAAGTGAATTCAATAGAAACATTAATTAAATGAACATTGAGTACATAAATCGTATGGTTAAGTAAGAAATATTTTCATTATGGATCACTAAACACTGTTGTTTTGTATCACTGCAGCTGAGTAGATCTGCATTGAGGTATGCCAAAGGTTCTTAATCTAGAGTACAAGCAACCTTGGAATTTATGTACAAAATGTTATGTGTGTGTACTTATGAAAAGAATTCATAGTTTCATCAAGTTTTCGTAGATATCCAGGACCTAAAAACAAGGATTGAAGGGCACATCCACCACAATGTTTCTATCAACAATAGTCAAAGTATGGAAAAAGCCCAAATGTCCATCGACGGAGAAATGAGTAAAGAAGATATGGTATATATACAAACAATGGAGTTTACCTGGCAATCAAACAGAATGAAATCTTGCCATTTTCAACTATGTGGATGGAACTAGAGGGCATTATGGTAAACAAAATTATTCAGAGAAAGACACATATCATATGACTTCACTCCTATGAGGACTTTAAGATACAAAACAGATGAACATAAGGGAAGGGAAGCAAAAATAATATAAAAATAAGCAGGGGGACAAAACATAAGAGACTCTTAAATATAGAGATCTGACAGAGGGTTGCTAGAGGGGTTGTGGGAGGGGTGATGGGCTAAATGGTTAGGGGGTATTAAGGAATCTACTCCTGAAATCATTGTTGCACTATATGCTAACTAACTTGGATGTAAATTTAAAAATAAATAAATAAATAAAATTTAAAAATTTTAAAAATTAAAAAAATAAAAACAAGGATTGAGAACTAATGTTATGAATTTTCAGTAAAAAACCCATTCTTTATTTTTTACTCCTATAATCATTCCTTAAGAGCTTATAAAAAGAAGAGGTCCTAAAGAGTTTATAACAAAGGTGTTTCTGGGGTGTAAAGCCTGGAGAGAGATGGGAAAATTTGGAAAATGTTGCTATTGGAACTGTAATTTACATACAGGCATTTCTTGGGATAGATGCAAGCAAATATTTATGCTCTAGTATTGTGAAGGAGAAGTAGTTAATTATATTATAATGAACAAGAGGATGCATTTTAGAGCCAAACCAGTGAGGGTCAAATCCTGGTTTTGCCATTTACTAGCTGTGTATCCTCGGGACAGTTATTTAACTTCTCTGTTCTCCACTCTCTTCATTTTTCATGGGGATAATAATAGCGTCTACCTCATAGGTTGTAAGGATTAAAATGCATTAACATCTAGAAAGTGCTTAAAACATTGATTGCCTTACTACATAATTACTACATAAGTGTAAGCTGTCATTACTATCACTGTTAGTATGATTATTACAATTACTGCTGCTGCTATTGTTGTAGAATGCTATCAGGGTAAATACGAGGCTGAATTAGAGACTGAGCCAGATTTGGTATTCTAATATATTGAGTCAACAAGTTGTTTTCTGTAAAGGGTAAGATAGTAAATAGTTTTGGCTTTGCATGACGTGTGGTCCCCATCGCAACTATTCACAGTTATAGACAATATGCAAAAGAATGGACTTGGCTGTGTTCCAAAAACTTTATTTACAAAATAGGTGGTGGGTTTTCTGACCCCGGTTTAATCAGCTGAATAGTTTTTTGTCTACCAAATATAATAATAATACTTAAAAATAAAGACATGATATTAGATATTACAAGATTGCCTCAATGCAATGCCTGATGTATAGTCATTCATTAAGTATTGATAGATAAATTAATGAATAGTAGGTATTTATGAATTGCTGCAAAAAAAATTGTGTCAAAGAAATGATAGAGCAGTGTTTCTCAAGCTTTCACGTGTGTCAGAATTTAACACCATCAATAGGCCCCATTCCCAGAGTTTCTGACTTTTAGATCTGGTGTGAGGCCTGAAAATTTGCATTTCTAATACATTTCCAAGTGTTGTTAGTTGTCTAGGGAACAAAACTAAAAAGTAAGTAGCCAGGGGAATTGCTCTCTGGGCCCAATTTTAATCAACAAGAAGAAAAGGATTTAGTCAATGACAGAAAACTTGTGAAGAAGCATCTATGTAATTTCTTGTAAATTTGATTATTTTCATTTCTTCCCATTTAATTCAACAGCAAATTTTTAAAGCATGCATTCTCTGCCTGGTACTCTTCTAGGTATGTAGTTGTATATGAAAAAGAATATGACATAGACAGACTTTGATGTTAATGTCAGGAGTGTTACTCTAGTTGAGGAAAGAAAATGCGCATTCATGGACCAATTACAGAATAAGAAAATATATTTCATTAGGTTCCAGAGTGTATCATGTAGGTATGAATGATATCTGTACTCTAAAATGATCAGAAAGAGTATAAATAGATATAATATGTAATTAATTTAATCAACTATTTAAGATGATGGTTTGATGGAGAATCAGGAATCTCAGATTGCTCAGTTAACCTATCCATTTCCAGAAAAGAGCAAGAAGATTGGGTTCTACTCTGAGCCAAGCACCATCAGTGGTCTGACCCATCCTGTCACTGAACATGGCCCAATTATGTGAGGTAAAGAATTGTTTTGAGGCTTTTGGTTTCGACCAGAATTTCTCAGTCTCGTCTTTGACAGGATATTTGACATCTTTGGGAGGATAATTCTTTGCTGTGTTGAGGGGATAGGCTACCCTATACATAATAAAATATTTAGCAATATCCCTGGCCTCTGCCCACTACAGGCCACTACCTTCACCCATCTACTTGTGACAGACAAAAATTTCTCCAGACATTGCCAAATGGACAAGGCAATCCCTGTTTGTTTAAGAAATAATGGTTTAGTCCAATTCAGTGTATATTGAATTGGTATAGTCAACTCTAGCTAAAATGTTGAAAGGTGGAGAGAATAAAATACTCTTGCATTTCTTTCTTACAATCTTATTATTCAGTTTTTGGTTCTGTAATCTGGAGCTATGTAAAAAAAAATTTAAGGATCAGACATTTTAAAGGAATTTGACATTGGAATCAGTGGAATAATTTATTCAGGTAATTTAGCAAAGTTCCTTACTTATAGAAGATGCTAAATAGCCATTAAAAACAAATTATTGGGTAACATATCTTATTAGTTAGAGAAGAAATGAAAATACTGAAAAAAAAGAAAAGAAGCACACTCACTCTTATAAAGAAATACAAGCCTTTTTCCCCACCCTCAAATCCCACCCCTAGAGTTAACCATCATTCAGTTGTTTATCTTCCCATTTTTTCCATGCTTATAAAGGCATCTATATATAAGTATGTATATATACATGCATCCTTACAAAATTTTAATGGCTGAATTGTTCTCTGGTATATGGATGTATATAACATAGTTTATTTAACTGATTTCCTATTGTTGGTGTCACCACACTAAAATTAAGATTATGTCTTTATTACACCATACTAAAATTAAGATTATGTCTTTATTGTATAAGAAATGTAATTTCATATGCAGATATTTTATTTGGCCATTTTCACTTATAACATAAGCAGACTTAGAGCCATCCTTTTAAAGACACATATTTGACAGTTTAAAAGAGACCACATTGGAAGGCTGTCTATATAGTAAGAGAAGTTCTTCAAATTCAGAGTCCATGTCCTGGCATCCAATACCTGGAATCAGTCATCTTAGTTTTGAGGTATATGCTCAGAAATTGCATGCCAAATTTTGTATGTGTGAAAAACGTGGCTGCATTTTTCTAGGAAGGGGATTCATAGTTTTATCAATATATCAAGGGAATCTGTTACCTCCCAAGAAGGTTAGGAACCACTGAGCTGTATTATCTTAGTTGAGAACTGCCCACATTAAATTAGAAGAGCAATGTTGAATAGGTTAACCAAAAGCTTGTTTCCCAAAAGTTGGAGTGTTGTTGTTTTAATAGTTTTTTATAAATTGTAGAATCATGGAGGGTAAAATAAGCAGAGCAACATACCTCATTTTCTGAACCTTTTGTATACAATTTTAAAGACAGTTTTCCCTTTAGTTAATAGTTGATGTTGGCATAGAAATGATACATAAAGTATAGAATGTAAGCATGATTATGTATATATGATCATTTGTTTGTTTTTCCCTTGAGGAGAGAATATTGTGTGGGATAAAAAGCAGGGTGGTGAGATAATCCATCATTTTGAAACCTGTTCTCTGGTGATAGATTGGTGAAGTAACTCAATAATCTTCATTTTTTTTTCAGGTTATTCACAGATCATTGAGCATTGTCATTAATAAAGCAAAGGAATGTGTTTGTGTCCTTGCCTGCATTATTCCTCAGATTGTAACAGGAAAAGACTTTTAATTTGGGAATAACGTCTTATTAAAACTTATATATAAGTGTGTGGTGCTAGGAACATATATTGTGGCTCTCATAAATATATTAGAATTATGTTGGCTGCACAAATTACATAGTTTTCTATTTAATAATAGCCCCCTTCAATGCTAAAATTTCAGATACTATGGGGCGCCTGGGTGGCTTAGTCGGTTAAGCGTCTGACTTTCGCTTAGGTCATGATCTCGCGGTTCGTGGGTTCGAGCCCCACGTCGGGCTCTGTGCTGACTGCCAGCTCAGAGCCTGGAGCCTGTTTCAGTCTGTGACTCCCTCTGTCTCTGACCCTCCCCTGCTCACGCTGTCTCTCTCTCTCCTAGAAACAAATAAAAATATTTAAAAAAATTTAAAAAAAATAAAAATAAAATTTCAGATACTAGATTATATTCATAGGTAGGTGCAAAAACTCGCCCAATTGTTTTTTCCACAGATTACATAATGTATACTACTCCAGATCTTAAAATAATTCTAATAACTTGTGTTAGAGTGAAAGGTGAATGGCTTCATATAGGGCAAGAGTGATATTTGAATTAAGTCCAGCGTTTGAAGCTGAGATTTTAGTTTGATTAAATTGAAAGGTAACACTGTTATCTCATAGACTAACTTCTTAAGGTCATTTGAAACAATTCTTGAACCATCTCTTTAGAATCAATATACTACCGTGTAAAATCTAATGGAAATAATGTGGACTGTGTCTATTTTCAAGCCAATTCAAGAAACAAACAAGAACCCTGAAGGTAGCCAAATTATGAAAATATAAGGCTTTACTTGTTAGCAAGTATAAGTCTATGTTAGATACCTTAGGTTCCATGTATTCTCTACTATTCCCCTGTTTATATTGGTTTTTGCTCTAAAGTGATCCAGTTAGCATAATTGCATAGAATTGTAATGAAGCTGTTCATTTCCAATTTTTTCATCAATTTGCCTTCTACTTTGGTAGGCAATGTTCACAAACTGTGTTTGTATAAAATTCCTTGTCTTATTTCATTGAAAGTTATAAGGTTTTCCATAAGTTACAAAAGTATCCATTTCAGAATTAGATTCTGGCTCGATCTCTGTCATGTTATTATTTGCATGAAATTGATCATGTCATTTAAATTCTCAGAACCTCAGTTGTTTTACCTGATAATGGTAATGGTAATTAAATTTAATCCTAACTCCTACTCTGGGCCACTGTGAGACTCACATGTAACGATGTTAGGGAAAATGTATTGAAGATTGTCCAACACCAATCTTTGGAAGATTGTCCAAATAGAGTATTATAACATAAAAGTTGTATGACTTCACGGTCTTGGTATTTGGAATGAATGTTTTGTAATTACTAAAACAGATATAATAGACTGTTCATTCAGTTTATACAAACTAGATTTGGTATTTAGAATTTAATTATGTGATTAAATTACCTTCTGCTATGTCTGTTGCTGTATATATTTGCTACATAAAAGATAGTCCTCTGTATGTCTCCTATGGTTTCTAGTAAATAACCTTTTTCAAAATGGATATGCCATAAATATCTCCTTACTACTTAGTTTGGTATATTTTACTCATTGTGGTTAATTGCTCTTTGATATAACTGCTTAGAACTTTGGCATATAGTAGGTGTTAATAATAAATATTTAAAAATTGGACTTTAAAAATAGAACTTACCATGGAAAGAAATTAAATCTGGCATGACAGGCACTATTTTTTTCATGTACTAGAAAAATGATTTATTAAAAAGAATTCTGTTGGAGCTGAAATAACTAATATAGCTTTTAGCAATTCCTCTTCCTTATTTCTCTGTCCCTTCATGCCTTATCTGCTCCCCTGTTCCTTCTCCCCATCCCCAAATTAGGCAGTAGGTTCTCACTTACTCACTATAATGAAATAGAATAAGAGTTTTGTCCAAAAAATGCCACTTCTATATGGTAAAACTTTTTGAATCTCAAGTTAGGATTCATAATAATTTGAATGTTTTTACTTTGTATATAAACAGTTTGCTAAACAAATGAATGGCATAAACAAGAAGGTATATGTAGCCTACTCACGAAACCAAACTAGTTTCAACTTTTTAAAATGACTTGGCAGTCCTTATTTCATGTACACTTGAAAGACATAAAGCTGTCATATATAATTTAAACTTACATTGGTAGCCTTACATCGTTTCATACAAATGCGCATGTATTTGTAAACAGCCACATCTTTCAAACTTTTTGCTTTCCCATCTGGATTTTTAAAAGAAAAATAGAGAGTGCCTGATTGGTTTAATCGGTTAAGTATCTGACTCTTGACTTTGGCTCAGATCACAGTCTCACAGTTCTTGAGATTGAGCCCTACACTGGGCTCTGCACTGACAGCACAGAGCTTGCTTGGGATTCTCTCCCTCTCTCTCTCTCTGCCCTTCCCCTGCTTGCGCTTGCTTTCTTGCTCTCTCTCTCTCTCCCAAAATAAATAAACATTAAAAAATAAATAAAATGGGATGCAAAGTGTGGATATTTTTCTTTAGTAAATCTCTTTGACTATGTTAGAATTTGAAAATACTCATTCTTGAATCTACAGTCTTTAATCATGGTTCTATATGAATGGATCCATATTCTTATGCATTTAAAAATAGAAGGAATTAACCCTAAAATAAGCGTGCATTTAGAAATAGAAGCAATTAACCCTAAAATAACCTTTTGAGTAATAAACATTTATTGAATGAACAATTAATCTTGATTTTAATTTTACATTTTAATGTATTATATTCTAATAGGTAGCACAGTGTAGTTGTTGAATAGAGACCCTTAAGCCAGACTTTGTGTTTGAATCCTGGTTCTTCCATTTACTTACTGGTTAAATTCTTTCAGTTTCCTCCTTTATAAAAAGGAAATAGCAGTAGTATCTACCTCATAAGGTTGTTATGAGTTTTAAGGAAATTATTATCTGCTAAGCTCTTAGAACAGATAAGCACAAATAAACACAGCATGAGCCTTTGTTATATAAAGTAAAATAATTTCCAAATTGTGTTCATTTTCCTGTGCAGATACGAATTCACATTCTTCAGTATAGTGGAGTAGTCCCAAATGCCTAATGAATTGACAGTCAAACTTCTGACTGTTCCCACCTTCCATGATGTTTTCAATATCAGAACTTTACTGTCAGCCGACAGTGGTCTACTCATAGAGGTGGATATATCAAGATTAAAGCTGCTATTGTATGAAATCTAGTGCAGTACATTATTCCTCTACCTGGAATTATCTTTCTTGTCCCTGTTTTTGTGAGGTTAGATGTATCTCTTTTAACAAGCAAATATAGATGAAAACAAACATTAATTTTCTTTAATTTTAATTTAATTCTTTAATTAAAATTAAACATTAATTTTAATTGTACTCCTGAAGTATAAATAAAAATTACTATGGAATGTCTTTTAGGATATGGATATTTTAATGTGTGAAATAGGCTCTTAAGACCAGCAAACTAAGTCACTGTCTGGATGGTACAGATAAATCAAGTATCATTTGGAAGAACTTGGTTTTCTTTTTCTACATTTTAACTTAAATACTCTGGCCATATGAGACTGTTCTACTTATCTCCAGTATAGTTTCTTTTTTATATTGGAGATCTAATAATATTAAAACTTACATGAGAGAAGAAATATTGCTTTATTTCAGAATAGTTGCTGGGGAGAAAATAATTTTCTTCAGAATATAAACTTTGGAATTGATATTTTTAAGACCTCAGTAAACACACTGATGCTTATTTATGTTCAGTCATTTGAGCATTCAGACTAAATATTTCTGTTGTTAACATTCCTGTGGAGATCATCTTAGCCATAGATGATCCCTATTCATATACTAATGAAATTGCCTTGACCAATGCAGAAAGTTTTTTAAAATACCCTCTTATATGATCTGTAATTAGTGAGATTAATAAAATTAGTCTGTCAACCTTGCAAATTAAACTTGAGCCTCTATGCATTTTGTTCCTCCTGAAAGATTTTTAAAAATATTTATTTGTTTGTTTTTGAGAGAGAGCCATAAAGTGTGTGAGCGGGAGAAGGACAGAGAGGAGGAGAGAGAGAGAATCCCAAATAGGCTCAGTGCTGTCGGTGCAGAGCCCAACATGGTGCTCGATCCCTTGAACCACAAGATCATGACCTGAGCCAAGATCAAGAGTTGGACACTTAGCCGACTGAGCCACCCAAGCATTCCCTCCTGAAAGATTCTAAAGCTTGGGTAAAATCTCATGTTTTCTCTAGGGATGCAAAGCTAAGTTTGTAAACTTATGTGAGTTGAATCCTTAATGTCAGTTTGGATTATATAGTTATATTGCAATGGTATGAGAAAAACACACTACTTGTCTATGAGAAATAAAAGCAAGGTAGCAAAGAGAAGGACACTGAAGACAGCAAAGCATAAAAGCATAGTGAAAGGTAGTTGAACAACTGTGAGGTTCTCTGTGTTGCAGGATGCCCTTTTGTTTTTTTGTTAAGACCAGAATATTTAGACAATCAGTAGTTCACAACCCTTTTCTCTGACAGCATACATGATG